TTATTTTAAAAAAGTGTTCTTAGAAACGAGCTATCACGTATGGAGATCAGTGGCTTTCAAGCCAAATGATCAATCATATGGTCACATTCATGGCATAGTTTGTTCAAATGATCTTATATTGTGCACAAGGGTGCATATTGGAATGGCAAACAATGTTGCCTAAGGAAGTTTTCATTTTCTTTGAACGAAAAAACCATTTTCCATTTTTCGAGTGCCCAAAAGGAGTTTTTTTGTGAAGGACCTCCCAAATAATTGTTGCAAAATTGGACCAAATAAATTTTATAAAATACTAGGACATATTTAATTCACAATTGACAAAATGGTTGGGTGTAAAATTTTTTGATCCACCTCTCGTGAAAAAGACAAATTTCCGCTGATTCAGTTGGAAGTGTGTCAAATTTGAACTGCAGCTGCCTCATAGTTTGCTGTTTATTTTTTCAAAAAATCATTTCTAGTTATATAAGTACCTATTTAATCATAAATACATGGTTTGGTGGCGATACGTCGAGGTTTGGGCGGTGGCCGAGGGCCCCAACTCTAGAGCGCGTAAACTCGCATGCCCGCCGCGTGGTCACCGCGTGACTGTGGCGTTGTCATGTGTTATGGGCGGCCTAGGCATGTCTAGTGGGTTGGTCACTCCCCAGGTAGGTGCTAGGAAGAAAATTACAATATAAGATTCTCACGAGGAGACCGATCGATGCTCAAACATGAATTAGCAGCCAAGTGTTTGATTAGCGGTACGGGAAATGTACATGGCTAATGGGCGTGAGTTTCGGCTGAGGATGATCAATTACTAAGAAAACCGTCTTCACAAATTTTCAGCTCAAAAGGAGGAGCCTAGGTGGTACTTGCTTTGCAAAGTACCACACTAGACATAAATACGAGTGTTGAAGCTGGGCTCAAAATAATGAATGGATTAAGCTGGCATTTGGTGGAGGATGGTTATTTGGGCATAGGAAAGCACTTTCGAAAAGGGATACTATTTGGACATGCCAAAGTGGTACTTCCTTCACAAAGTGCTGCTCTGAACAGAATAGGAAAATGAATATTGTTGAACTATTTTTGAACTAGGCAAGGAAGGTTTTTGACATATTTGATGAAGATATGATCCAAACAATTTATGAGAATTTTTTGGGAATTTTTGGAATAACATAAATATAGGTTGCTTCACAACCTAGGGCAAAAATTGACGCATGGACATGACACATAGGCAAAACTGATGAGATGGCGCCTAGTCATCGCAACCCACCACAATTTACAAGGCTATGACCATCTATATTGGTCGTTAACAACTAGAAATAAGGCAGCGGACTAGCGTTGTTTGCTTTATGACCATTTTGTGTAAGGAAATTACGACCTTTCTGACCAAAATGGTCGCAATGGTTTAGGGTTTGGAGCCCCCCGAACAGCTTTTGACCAATTGATCTCAAATGATCATAGATCTATGACCAATTCTTTCAGGGTCACTAACAGAAGGTCACTAGTTGACATATTTCTTGTAGTGTTAAGGGAACATCTCAACTTTTGGTATCAACCATATGACTTGTCATCAAGGACACTACCTGATGTCTCCTATTCTCAAGTTACATATCTTATCTCTTGTCTTGTTCTTACTAGGATAATTGGTGAAAGCAGAAGGTGTTGAACCTTGGTGATCCTGAAACATGCAAAGGGCATGCTCAACTAGTGGTCCTATATATACTGTTACTCTTTGCATGTTCCTGAGAATTCATGTATGAGAAATAATTGTTTATATGAAAATCAAGAATGAAGAGAACGAGTTAGATCAATGGTGGAATATAAACTTTTTACTCCTGCTAATTTCATATTGGTTCCAGGAAATATTTATAGTCAATTTGTCGAAACATTTTTGCAAGGAAACTCCTTCATCTATAATCATTTTTTTGCGAGAACTTCATTTATAATGGTTGCCTCCGAATGCACGTGGAGAGATAGATAGCTGAGACAGAGTATTATTTTTGGTAACCATTGCATTTTTAGTGACGCTCAAAGATGAAAGCTTGGAAACCCTTATCTAGCTACTGAATTAACATGGCTTGAAAGAGCTCTATCGAACAGAAGATTGGAGCAAGAGAGCTTCTAACCAGGCTACACACTGATTGAATTCCATGATTACGCTTACTGATCACCTGTTATTCACTCTAGGAATGCTTCTAGACATTTTTTTACAGTGTCTCTACGCTTGTGTATAGGCGTCATATTCATTTTGTCGCGTCAGTTCACTCATGCATGTAGTTGAAACTGAAGCAGTGGATGCACCAGCACCACCAGTTAGTCACGCCAAGTTATGAGTGTCGTGTGGCATCGTGTGTGTATGTGCCAGTACATTGGTTAGTAGTCTTCATAAATATGTTAGTTAGCAGCATGCCCAAAGCTCCATAGAGTTGCAGCAGCCGAGTTATGCGGTAGATGAGTGTGGACCTAGAAGCGAATGCAATTAGTTGAAGCGTGCGTCAAGGGTGCCGTTGCGGACAAGCTTCTGGTGTGCTATAAACTTGGAAATGGCTCAAGCTTGTGAACGTACGTGAGTTGCCCGAATAATAATGAAATTAAGACATGAAAAAACAAGACACTTCCATAAATAAAAATCGCCACGGCAAAGCACACATTAGCCCCTCAAGTAAGAATAACAATTTCGAAAAGTATACTTTCTTCTGAAGTAAGAAGACGATTTCAAAAAGTGTACTTTCTCCTCTTGCCGTGGCTGGCTAATTCGACCACAATATGGAGTGATGCGATAGGGGTGATAATGGGGGCAGAGTTCGCCCGAATTTTGTATGCGCCAGCTGTGCATCCACGAGCGGCCGCATTTCGGCCACATCTCGTCCATCGGAGACCATTTACACTAAAGTTAAGCATAGCAAATAGTTTAAATCAAACATAGCAAATAGTTTCACATCCGAAATAGTCTTACAAGCCAATCGAAATAAAAACAATGTCAAATAGTCTTACAACCCAATTGAATTTTGTTTGCATGAAAAGAAATTAAACAGATAGATCTACGGATTGCCAGTGTGAGCCCACATATGCTCAACGAAGTCATCCTGGAGCTGCATATGAGTATGTCAATCACGCATTTGATGATGAAATTGAACAGTGTTAAGGTTGCAGGAGGTAGGTGCTCAGGCTCAACATTTTCACCTAAAAATCAAAGCCTAGGTCGTAGATGCTATCGTCACGCTCATCCTCCACGATCATCTTGTGCATGATCACACAAGCAGTCATCGCCTCCCAAAACTTCTGAGTGCTCCATGTCAATGCAGGGTTTTGAGCGATACCCCATTGAAATTGAAGTACATCAAAAACACGCTCCACATCATTCTTGCACTCTCTTGCATTTGGGCAAATCTCTGTCGCTTCTGTCCTTACGGATTGGGTATCATCTTCATAAGAGTTGACCACGGAGGATAGATACCATCAGCTAGGTAATATCCTTTGTTGTAATGGTGTCCATTGATCTCAAAGTTGACCCTTGGGGAGGGGTCTTCTGCAAGCCTTGCAAACACTGGAGAACACTGAAGCACATTGAGATCATTGTCAGAACCAGCCATGTCGACGAAAGAATGCCATATCCACAGATCTTGTGAAGCCACCGCTTCAAGTATGACAGTGACATCTTTCATATGCCCCTTGTATTGCCCCTACCAAGCAAATTGACAGTTCTTTCACTTTCAGTGCATACAATCTATACTATCAAGCAAGCCTGGAAAGCCCCTATCGGCATTGATCGCCAGCAACCTCTCTGTATAAACAGCAGTTGGCTCTCTTAGGTACCCAGGGCCGAGCAATGCCACCACGGCCTTGTAGTAACTATACATTGAGAGGAGCCATGTGGACTCACTCATACGCACATCCTCATCCGCAAGATCACCAGGAATTTCATATGCAAGCATGTGAATAGCCACAATGCATTTCTGGTAAGAAGAGAAGCCAAGCTTGCCAAGGGCGTCCTCTTTGCACTCAAAGTATGGGGCATATCCTACCACTCCCTCCCGAATACGATTGAACACATGTCTCCTCATTCCGAATCGGTTATGAAATTGATGTGATTTGAAGAGTGCGGTATTCTTAAAGTAATCGACATAGAGAAGGTTGTGGCCTCTCTCCCTATTCCGGTTCAAGGCCGGAGCATGGCCGGAGATTGATCCCTTGAACCGAGGCCACTTCCTACTAATGTGGTCATGGACAATCATTGCAGCCACCACAAGTTCTTCATCAGGATGAATCATCTGATGAATAGATGAAGTTGTGAAAGAAATACTCATCCCCGCTATCCATGGTACCTTATGAGCAAAGAGTCAAACACCTTGTGGACAGGGTGGAGACCCGGCCGGAAAGAGCACATCGAGCTCCCCTCGTAGAAAGCAAAGCAAAGTTGGTCTTGGTGGGTGGGCGCCCTGCGGCAATGCATCGCCTGCCGTAAGTTGTCCGAACGCTGATCCACGAACGCCGGCAAAAAGCTCTGCCAAAACGCGGGCATGGGCCGGCTATGGCATGGCGTGGTCCGGACGGCCTTGATGGAAGGCGACGTGGCAGGGAACACAGGTAGCGCGGCGATGGCGGGGGTGGAGGGCGAAAGGAGGCAGGGGAAGAGGAAAGAGGTTGTGTCCCTGACGGATGGTTCCAAAGGACAAGGGCGTGCGTCCGACCTGTCCGCGTGGCCTATGTGGACGCAAAGGTGGTTCAAAGTTGGGCCAGAATGAATCGAACACGGGTATTGGTCCAGTTGCTCACGTATGTGTGATATTCCTTCCTCTAGAAACATCCGTCCGTCCCGCACCTCACCTCTAGCCAAGGGACTAGTCATCCATGCTCCACACGCTGCCAACCCACGCGTCCGGCACCCATTCGTCCACGCATAGTGACCCCTCATATATAATACACACACGCGCAGGCAGGACACTTCCAATTTCCAGTCACAAGATCTAAACAATCATAGAAACACGACAGCAAGCCAAGAATCAAGAGGCTCGGGGAAGATGCAGGCGGCGAAGGAGAAGGTGAAGGACGGGGTGAGCGCGGTGAAGGCCAAGACCAAGATCGCGCAGGCCAAGGCGTCGGAGAAGGCGGAGGCGGCCACGGCGAGGTCGCACGCCGAGCGGGAGCTGGCGCACGAGCGCGGCAAGGCCAAGGTCGCCGCCGCCAAGATGGAGCTGCACCAGGACAAGGTCCTACACCGGGAGGAGGCCATCGAGCACCGCATCCACAAGCACGGCGGCCACGGCCACCACCACCACAAGCACGGCGTCGGCATCGTGGCCGCGCCCGCGCCGGCGCCCGGGGCAGGGGCGTACTACTCTACTGCTGCACGTCACCACTACTAGCGCTAGCTAGACGGGCACATTCGCCGACTGTGCAATATGATCCCGCTAGCTAAGCATGTACTACTTCGTACTGTTTGTGTTTGACATACCCACGCCGAAATGCAACTCGGTGTCAGGCTCAGCTGAGGCCCGGCGAACAGTAACGTGATTTAAAATAGAAAAAATAAAAAAAATCTGATTTTCTTTTGCAAGTAAGATGTGCATGTGGGTAAGGTTCGTGCAAAATTTCATGATGTTTGGACATTTGAGTAGCGCACGACAAAAAAATAAATCTTGTTGTTTTTCAAATGTTTCTCTCAGACCAGAATTTTCTTTTGTCACGAGCTCCTCGAATGTTCGAAGTTCTCCAAATTTGTTACAGGCATCACGCACTCGAACATCTTTCACCAAGAAAAAAATGGAATTTTTTGAAGCCAAAATGCTGCTCTCAAAGAGTGTTTCGTATCTTATGATGATATCGTATCATAATAAATACTATACAGTTTTGACAAATCTAAATCAAAACGCTCTCAAAGAGTGTTTCGTATCTTATCATGATATCATATCATAATAAATACTATACAGTCTTGATAAATCTTAGTCGATAAAAACTTGATTGTGTCTCAGTTGATGCTATATTTGTGAGATCTTACAATAAGATCCGTGCAAGTTTTCCTTTTAAATTATTTTCATTTTTCTTTCTTGCATGTTATGTCAGTTGACCGAGACTTGATAAAATTTCAGGGTATAGGGTTTAGGATTACGGTTAAATTTCAGTTAACTAAGACTTGGCCACGCCAATACTATACTGCTATATGTCCTGCATGATACTAATAAATAAGGTCTTCTAATACTACACATAATGGGAGTATCATAAATACTATTATGCGTGCCAACTAGACATAGAATTAAATAAAGAAAGAGGGGGTTGAGGCCATCTAAGATACTAATGGGAGTATCATAATGGAAATAAATAATGTACTACCATATGGGAGTATCATAATGGAAATAAATAATGTACTACCATATGGGAGTATCATAATGGAAATAAATAAAGTACTACCATATGTCTTGGCATAAGTAAGGCTATCTAAGATACTAATCTATAATACGATGCATTACGGAGGTAATCTGCATGATACTAACTTATGACACTATCCACTATCCGCAAAAAAAAAGACACTATCCACGATAGGCAACCTTACTCCCGTTTGTTTTTTTCCTCTAGCCAATCTCCCTGCAATGTAGACCACCCTACCTCCCAACACAAACCTCCTCTCCTTCGGTCACTGTACCATCCAATTAACACAAACATCATCTCCTCCAGTCACCATCTTCATGGCGTTCAGTCCAATCCCTCACTGGCGGGATTTTTTGAATTACTTTTCTAAATTATATATCTATACTATCAGATTAGAAATCATAAAATTATAGCCCCATCGTTTTCATTTGGGTTGAGGAGAGACTATGTTTCCACGTCAATCGAAGAGACACTTCTTGTCCGCAAATGAGCCGAAGAGATTTTTGAAGCGCTATTCTTCGTTCATGTAGACATGTGAACACCCTCTACATGTAAGAGGCTGAATAAATAAAAATGATAGACTACTCATGTCAATAAGGAAAAAAAATCTGGAAGCCCTATCGAAAAACAACTCCAAAATTAGGCGTGCTTGGCTTAGAGCGATTTGACGGGGTGATTGATCGGGAAGTTGGTCTCGGGTGTGCATGAGCGAGGACAAATTGTGCAGAAAAGACTAGTGATCGTTTGTGGGAAAAGTCTAGATCCCACCAGGAGTAACAGCCAGGAAACGGTGGCTGTAGCCGTGGCGTTACAATAATACATACAGTCATGCATGTGCACCTCCTCTATACAATTGAACTTTTCATAGTCAAATCCTCGCCAAAGTTTCTCCAAGTCAAATCCTCACGCCACCAGAACTGCATCATGAAGAATCCAGCCAGAAGAACCATTTGAACAATGCATTGTGGAGGATAAATTTCGTCCTTCAATATATACCGACCATGGAAGTTTATAACGTGCTTGGTGAAACCTTTTCAATCGCACACACTACTCATCTAGATGATGTCAATCTCATAAACATTATCCCTCGTCATATTCTGATCATCTGATGATGCCAGTCTCATAAACATTATCCCTCATCCCATGTAATATTCTAATCACTGCACGCACGCACCTTGACCCATACCATTCACGGTCCTGAACACCATCAATAACAAAATTATGTAAGATATTGTTTGTGTATTAATTATATTATTAGAGCTAGTGTTAATATTTGATTTGATATTAATTTCACGCTAGACGTTTTCAGAGCTCATCGTTGTACCACTCTAGGTAGTATAACTGAATTGGTTTTATGCTCGAGATTAGAAAACCAAACAAGTAGCAAGAAAAAATCTGATATTTTTTAGATCTTCTTGTGTCGCAAACATGCTTGACAATTTTTATGAGAAACAGAGTAGCAGTGTTTCCTCGGTGGAATAAATAAAGTTGGGTCTAACATTTGAGGGTGACATTTGGTGTTTAATTTGTTATTTTTGTGCCAGCCAAACTGCTTTATTTTTTGACGTAAAAATTTATAGGTAGCATTTGGATGTGACTATGAGCAAATTAAAAAATTAGGATTTTTTTGACTTTTGAAAAAAATCATTTTCCACGTGTAGGAGCACGTGCACCCGGGAGCCGAATTGGATTTCCGCACTTTTTTTATAATTTAATTGTATACCACCATTTCATGAGAATTTTATAGTTGACATACATAATGATTACTTAAAATTATTTAATTAGAGTTAGAGGAGTGATGGTATGCGTATAATAATTCACTATTATTTTTTTTACTACACAATCGGACCATCCTAAGATTGTTTTTTTAATGTGTGCGGTTCATAATTTGTATTGGACATCAAACTATCATACACACTATTTGTTGGATGCCCTAAAGACTATAAAGTAATTTTTATTATGTTTAAGATTCTTTGCATTTTTAATGATTTTTTTAATTTTATAAATATTTATAAAAAATAAAAAACAAGAAAGTAATCCGGCAAATAAATACTTTCTCCGTCTCAAAATAAATGTCTTGAGCTTAGTACAATTTTTTGTATTAAAGCTACTACAAAGTTTAGACGTTTATTTTGAAACGGAGAGAGTATATATTAGGGACGAACAACATGCTTTTTTTTTCTTGCCGTCAATCGCTGTCTAATTCGATCACAGCTTCTGCCTCTCTCGTGCCGGAGTGTTGCGGTCGCAATTGATTACCTCGACCCACCATGCATGCATGTGCATTGATTCCTTCACGTACGTGTGGTATTCCATCGTCCTAGAAGCATCTCGTCCGTCCGGCACCTCACCCCTAGCCGAAGGGATGAGTCATGCATGCAGCCAGCAGCGCCGGCGCTCGCGCATGCACGCCGAACACGTCGCCTCCCACGCGTCCCGCACCCATTCGTCCACGCGCAGCGGTCGCGGCCCATATATATACACCCACCCACAGGCAGTCCACATCCAATTCCAATCACAAGCTCCAAACAAGCACAGCAAACCAATCCAGAGTACCATCGGCTATCAATCAGCAGGAGGAAGAAATAGCTGCTCGATCGGGGAAGAATCAAGAGGCTCGGCGAAGATGCAGGCGGCGAAGGAGAAGGTGAAGGACGGGGTGAGCGCGGTGAAGGCCAAGACCAAGATCACGCAGGCCAAGGCGTCGGAGAAGGCGGAGGCGGCCACGGCGAGGTCGCACGCCGAGCGGGAGCTGGCGCACGAGCGCGGCAAGGCCAAGGTCGCCGCGGCCAAGATGGAGCTGCACCAGGACAAGGCGCTCCACCGGGAGGAGGCCATGGAGCACCGCATCCACAAGCACGGCGGCCACGGCCGCCACCACCACAAGCACGGCGTCGGCATCGTGGCCGCGCCCCCACCGGCAACTGGGGCGGGAGCCGGGGCGTACCACCATCCTCCCGCCGCCGGTGGCCACTACTACTAATCCCTAGGCAGCTCGATCGCCAGCTAGATGGGCACATGCGTCGCTTCTGTGTGATGTGATCTTGATAGCTAATAAGCCTCTACTTTGTACTCTGTGTGTAATGACTTACCAACGCGTGCTTTTTAATTTTGCACTTGGTTTTGAGACGAGAACTGTATGTGTGCATATATGGATGCATGCGACCTTGTTGGTTGCTTTCCCCCTTTGCGCGGTGTCCCGCGAGGTGTCTGAATCTAAGAGCCGTATCTTCAACTGTCCTGCCGTTTGATTCTTGTCAAGTTACATGATATAAAAAGATGGGAGCGGCTCGAATGTGGTCAGTCGATTATTGAAACAGAAGAAAAGAAAAGAAGACAATACAAAACTGACATAATTTTAGGGTCAGTCGATCAGCCCAACAACAGAACTGACTGACCATCGCTGAAGAACTTCTGTTAGCGCTCTTCTGTCTTCTTTCCAGCCAAAAACGGAATGAAGACCCGTCAAGGAACCAAACCCATTCTACTAAAAACCACTGGATTCAGCTCGCGCACACATCACTAGGTTTTTTTTTCCTTCCTTCAACACAGCCGCCGCCATGCATGGATGCACAAACAAAGCTCATAGGCGGCTCCGGCGGGCACCATGTCAGTGGTGGTGGCTCTCCCTCGTGATCGTATGGGAGACCGCCGTCATGGATGCACAAACAAAGCTCATAGGCGGCTCCGGCGGGCACCATGGTCCGGTCCGGTCCGGGCTTTGACCTAACCAGCCTTTGGACCGGCGCGGCCGGTCCGGTCTGGACCGGACCGAGGTGCGGTCAGCCCGAATGGACCGAACGGGACCGATAGCTGGGACTGTTTAGGCTATTTTTCAGCCTGTGAGTGCTTTGTTGGCCACTGTTTAGGTTGTTTTGTCGTATTTAGACTGTAGTTGTCCCTGGGAGTGCTCTGTTAAGCGTTTTGGCCATTATTTAGACTGTAGCTTCTCCTGGGAGTGTCCTGTTATGCTTTTTGGCCATAGTTTAGGCTGTCCAAATTTAATGAGTGCTCTGTTTTTGTATAATGACTAGTATGGCATACCTAAATTTGGACAACATTTTATTTGTATTTTGGACATCAAAACAATTGATTCTGAGAAGAAGAATAGCACAAATATTACATCCACAAACATAAGGTCTTATCATCATTGAACGACACGATTACAAACTTGCAATGACAATTCCAAGTCCATGTCAATTGACAAGTTGAACATAACACAAATGAGAGGTTCATCTCCAAGCTAGCAGTGACAATTCATAGTTCATGATTTGAAAGGTTCCAACATAACAGAAATGCAAAAATAGCCTTCACATGAGAAAGATCACTTTGACATTCATCTCCAAAATAGCAAGATCAACATCCACATGATGAACGTCTACAAGTAAGATAAGCAACATCCACATAAATATTTGGTATCGTATGACAAGTGAAGCATGTAGGAAGAATAGTTACCAATCGTTGATCTCCTCCACCACAATGGGTAACTTGATGGTCTCAACATCATCCTCTTCATTCTCATCCCTCGGCTACAAGTGAGGAAGTTAGACAAATGCTCACATCACATATAACAAGACCGTAAAAGAAAGAAAGAAAAGGTAAGGAAAAGATGGCAAACATACCACTAGATTCAAGTCAACGTGAGCACCCTTGATATAACTTGCACCACAAACCAATGCCTCCACCATAACCGTTTTTAACGAACTCCTATAGTCATCTAATACAACACAAGTTGACAAACTAGTTTGAGGATGAGAAGTTGACAAGTTTATATTCAAAGTTCAATAGTACGAGTTGACATACCTAAAATCCTTCCGGTCGTGCTGAAGGTAGATTCCGAAGACACGGAGGTAGTCGGAATAGTAAGGAACCTCCTGGCTATCTTGTCCATAGTTGGGTACCTAGGAGCATTGTCTTTCCACCAACCAAGAAGATCAAGAGCCTTGTTGCGAGGGGCAACCTCATCCTCTAAGTAGTTCCTCAACTCACTCTTTGATATTCTTGTTGAACGGGACGATAAGAAGGACTCGTACCCAGCTTGAACCGGGATACTAGGAATGTTTGCAGAGGAAGATGAACTTTCTCCATTTCCAGCTCGCTTATCTTGAGCAACACATTTGTCATACAAGGCCGCCAACTCTTTCTCCCCGATTTTGATCTCAGTCCTAAACCTCGTACTTCCTTCTCCATATAGTTCTCCAAAGGCCCACTCTATGTAACCCATCTTGTACCTAGGATCAAAGATGATATCATTGGAGTGAATTAGAAAGCATACGAGTAAAAACAACAAGCATATGTGTAAAAAACAACAACCATTGGAGTAAAAACAGCAACCATATGAGTAAAAAACAACAACATTGGAGTAAAAACAGCAAGCATATGTACCGTGGATCAAAGATGGTTGCGATCACCATGGCATTGTTCTTTTCTTCCCAATATTTGTCAAACTTCTCCAACATTGCTTCACCCATTTCCTTGTAGTGGTCACTATCACTAGTCATTGCATGTTTGATTGCAAGCTTGACGCCAACAATGTATGGGTAGAAGATGTTCGAAGTGGGATATAAACTTCCTGAAAATGCTTTTGTCACCTCAGCCAAACTCTCAAGTAATGGAGAGATAAGGTTATACATGTCCCACTCTGCGTTTGTCGGCGCCCAAGCATAGTTGGCATTGGAACCAGCATGAGAGGTCAAGGCTTCCTTATAATCATGGGCAGTGCTAATCATCTTATAGGTTGAACTTCACCTTGTTTTACAATCCAGGTGTAAATGATTACCAACTTTGACACCCAAGCTTTTGCAAGTGGCAACAAAAGCATGGAGACGAGAAGGTGACCTCTTGAAGTACTTCACCGTCTCTCTCAAGCTGTTTATCAGATTATCTAAGATCTCTGTCCCATCTTGCACGACCAAGTTGAGGATGTGTGCACAACAACAGATATGAAAATATTGGCCTTCGAAGTCCTTACCTACAAAAGACAAATTTTATATGAGCAAAAACAGCAAGCATACATGTAAAAACAGCAAGCATGTGAGCAAAAACAGCAAGCATATGAGCACAAACATCAAACATATGAGCACAAAGAGCTTCTATATGAGCATAGCAACAAGCATATGAGCAAAAACATCAAGCATATGTGTAAAAACAGCAAGCATGTGAGCAAAAACAACAAGCATATGAGCACAAACATCAAACATATGAGCACAAAGAGCTTCTATATGAGCATAGCAACAAGCATATGAGCAAAAACAGCAAGCATGTGAGCAAAAACAACAAGCATATGAGCACAAACATCAAACATATGAGCACAAAGAGCTTCTATATGAGCATAGCAACAAGCATATGAGCAAAAACAGAAGGCATACAAGCATACCTCTCCGAAACAAGAACTTGGCCTTCAAAGCATCGATCGCACCATCATTGTTTGAAGCATTGTCAAGTGTCACAGACATAATTTTGGTCTCAATATTCCATTCTGTCACACACGCATAGAGAGCATCTGCAATGACATTTCCAGGCTGAGGAGGATCCAACTCTATGAAAGCAAGAACACGGGTTTGCATCTTCCAATTCACATCTATATAGTGTGCAACCACACACATGTAAGATAAGGTTTGGTTGCTTGTCCACAAATCTGTAGTTAGACATATGGAGCTCACACCCTTTAGGACAGATTTAAGCACATCTTTTTCTTTCCTATAGACCCTCATGCACTCAGCTCGCATTGCCTTCCTTCCAATGGGTTTATAATTTGGATTCATGCACTTCATTAGAATGTTGAACCACTCATGTTCAACCATTCTAAATGAATACTCATGCACACATATCATCTTAGCAATAAGCTCCTTGACGATTCCTTGGTTGTACTCAATAGAGGGGTGCATTGTTGGACCACTTGTTGTGTTGGAAATATGCCCTAGAGGCAATAATAAATTGGTTATTATTATTATTTTATATTTCATTGTTCATGATAATCGTTTATTATCCATGCTAGAATTGTATTGATAGGAAACTCAGATACATGTGTGGATACATAGACAACACCATGTCCCTAGTAAGCCTCTAGTTGACTAGCTCGTTGATCAATAGATGGTTATGGTTTCCTGACCATGGACATTGGATGTCGTTGATAACGGGATCACATCATTAGGAGAATGATGTGATGGACAAGACCCAATCCTAAGCCTAGCACAAGATCGTGTAGTTCGTATGCTAAAGCTTTTCTAATGTCAAGTATCATTTCCTTAGACCATGAGATTGTGCAACTCCCGGATACCGTAGGAGTGCTTTGGGTGTACCAAACGTCACAACGTAACTGGGTGGCTATAAAGGTGCGCTATAGGTATCTCCGAAAGTCTCCGTTGGGTTGGTACGAATCGAGACTGGGATTTGTCACTCTGTATGACGGAGAGGTATCTCTGGGCCCACTCGGTAATGCATCATCATAATGAGCTCAATGTGACTAAGCAGTTAGTCACGGGATCATGCGTTACGGAACGAGTAAAGTGACTTGCCGGTAACGAGATTGAACAAGGTATTGGGATACCGATGATCGAATCTCGGGCAAGTAACATACCGATTGACAAAGGGAATTGAATACGGGATTGATCGAATCCCCGACATCGTGGTTCATCCGATGAGATCATCGTGGAACATGTGGGAGCCAATATGGGTATCCAGATCCCGCTATTGGTTATTGGCCGGAGAGGTGCCTCGGTCATGTCTGCATGGTTCCCGAACCCGTAGGGTCTACACACTTAAGGTTCGGTGACGCTAGAGTTGTTATGGGAAATAGTATGTGGTTACCGAAGGTAGTTCGGAGTCCTGGATGAGATCCCGGACGTCACGAGGAGTTCCGGAATGGTCCGGCGATGAAGACTGATATATTGGACGAAGGGTATTGGAGTCCGGAAGTGTTCTGGAGGTACCAGGCTATGGCCAGCGTGACCGAAAGGTGTTTCGGGAGCCCCGGCAAGTGTT